AGTTTTCGTTGTCTTTGTATCCATACTGGGATCCCTGGTTCTGTTGACCATATGAGTTGTAACCATATTGAGATTCCTGATTCTGTTGACGACCAGAGTAGTCATTGTCCTTGTAACCATATTGAGATCTCTGATTCTGTTGACGAGCGTAATAGTATTCGTTGTCTTTGTAGCCATATTGAGCCCCTGGTTTCTGTTGACGCCCATAGGAATAATCATTGTCCTTGTAATCATATTGACCTGCTTGATTTTGTTGATGATAGTAAGAATATTCCGGACCTGTGTAGCCATATTGCGTTCTTTGATATTGTTGACGAGCAATTTCTTGGTCGTTATAACCGTATTGGTTTTGTTGGCCGTAAAAAGGATTTACATATGCTGAATATCTACCGTTATCAACGCGACGACGACGTCCAACAAACAGTAGACGTGGGTTGCCTATATTAACTTGTGGTAGTCCATTAGAACCCTCATAACCATAAGTTTGCTCGTCTTGAATCTCTTGATATTTCTGTTGACCATTGCCGATAACAGCATTTTGCTGACCTCCCTCTATACTTTCAGTAACGACTTGCACCAGTTGATCAATAACAATATTGTTCCACGCAACATTCAGGCCGACATCGTTTGTTAAATCAGTAACGTCTCTTTCTTCCACCGGAACAACAATTTTTTCTTGTATATAACTGCTTTCTACAACGTATTCACGACCGTTATCTTTACTGTTAACACGACGTCCTTCAGGTGAAATTCCGAACCGGCCGAAAGTATACTTCTGTGTGCCATATCTCTGTTGCAATGGGTTGTAGTGACCGTATTTGCCTAATTGAAACAATGAACCAATTCTGCGCAGGCCAAAGATGTCGAATATACTTGGTTTTACGTTCGCACGTGCTTCTTGTGAAATCAAACTACTATAATCAACATTTTGCGCATAGTTGAGTACATAATTGTCATAATATAGCTGTGGTAATATCTCATTCATTGGTGGTAGAATAAGCTCCTGAGTGTCTGGACGGTCGCGTATTGCTAGCGACAAAGCATCCACGAACATAATTGCGTTGAAATAAAGACGCGCATAAACAACATTTCTTTGAAAAACGTTGAAGTCACGGGCGAGCACAAAATAACGTTGAAGTCCAACTAATTGGCGTATATTTGAGATATCTACTGGATTGTAGGCGCCATTGCGACCGATGACCTCCCGATTTTTGGCCTGTTGTAAGAACTGCTGCAAAATCTCATCGTTTGGCTAAGCAAAACAAAAAATTTATTATCCTAATGCTTGCGGAGTGTGCATTCTGAAAATCGGCATTTTTTTTAGAAACTCACCAACAAATACATATTGGGATCCGTAACAAGTTCCTGGCCAAGTTGGACGAGCTGACTGTTAACCAAAGGTTTCTGTACCTGAAGTAGTACATCAAGCAGAAATTCTTGTCGCTGACGCTGATCCGTGCCCACAGATGTATAACCTTGATTTGGGTGCATAGATAATTTATTAGAATTAACCAAATCTTTCGAAAGTGATTTCGCCGTGAGTGACTCACCCTGTCCACTGCGTATACTGTCCAGACGTAAGAGTTTCTGCGCCAAACCGTAGTGTCCTGCTGTGACGCAGCAAACAAGGCAGCTTAATAGAACTACGAACGTCCTCATGTCGCAGATTACCAAATACTCTCGTCAAGTAGTTGAATGAAAATATATACGCTGTACTCTACCAATTAATACCGGTAGACAACTGTGCTAGACTTCAGCCAAATATCGGCTTATATAGGGACGGACCACGCTTTATCAATGTCTTGGTCCATTTCATTATCTCAATGCAGTAAACTTGCGATACTTTTTTGGTAATTAATGCCATTGATTTTATTTCGTTTAACCCTCGAATCACTTACAATTGCAAATCAATGAACTTTTAACAGGCGGTCGGTCTTATCGCAATGGAACGAAATGCATTTGTCCAATTCGTCGTTGTGGGTATGCATGTATGTTTGCAGCTTTGCACATACCAAGGTGACATTATCACCAATAGACATATTTAACCTGTGAAGACGTGCGTGACTGACGTCCTTTATGATTCATATTAACACTAAGATTCATTTGCTATTTTTGAATTGTAACTTGCGTATCAGAGATGTCGGATTATCTGTTTGCAGTGAGGTATTAATAAAGCGGTCTTTGACTTTCCAGCTGCTTAGTAACAGTTGGTTGCAAACAGGCACTTTGAACACCTAATTGACAATAAGTTGTGGAGACAGAATTCCATGACAGGATGTGGAGAGCAGTTGTTGAAGGATCATTTTATTCTCTGGCGGCATATGTGTACCGATGTTTTTCTATAGTTGCAGATAATTAGACATAACTATCTGAAGATTTTGGGTTTATGGTTGATACACATTAGATTTACTGAATAAAAAAAATTCCAGAAAATATCAATTCGCAATGCATTTCGTCTTCAAATTCTCTCTGTTTACTATAATACTTTATTTTTAGATAGTTTTTTTTTTTTTTAATTTTTGTTCACTATGCATCTAGCGGCTGTTTGTATCAATAATCCCACATCGATTCATCTATCCTCCAGCTTAACATGTATATTATAAAAAGTTTGGTATTTTAAATGAAATTAAGACGTTGATTTACTTGTGATAAGTGAAATTGTTGGCAATGTTTGAGATAAAATTGATTAATTTAATTTAGTTATAGTAGATGACGGTGCCGTGCACAAATCGTTGCTTTACGACGAATCACTCCCTTATAATCCGTATTAATTATTTTTAGCCCATAACCATTTAGGGTTGCTTAAAGTTTAGTTATGATCAGTCGATTTAGTATGCAGTTTTTATCATGACTACTAAAATATAATATATACAGCTTTCACGGGTAAGGTTTTAAATTTTTGTATTTTATGTAAAATTTGTAGTTTTTAATCTAATGCATATTATCTCAAGAAAATTTGCGAAAAGAAAAGTACGAGTATTTCTATATCTGTTTAAATTCTGTGGCCTACATAACTATATTTTTGAACACTACTTCTATAAAAATCGTTCGGTATTACCTGGGTAAAACTACCATATAAACGAACGAATAAACTTTGATATTTTGATTTCGGATGATCCAGCACCAAGTTAGGAGGGACACTGCATTCCTACTTTTTTCCGAAACACGTTCGAATAATTGCTGTCGTTGACGTATTATTTATTATTTGTTCGTGAAATTACTGATTTTATACAAAATTCTTCGAATTTTATAATAAAGAAATTGCGTCGTCACAAAAAATTTCACAAAAAGATTATTATTTTTGCACGAATTAGTCTAAACAACATCAACCCCCATCCCCCTTTTACTAGCCTACAAAATGCTGCGAAAAAGGTCGTTTTTATATACTTGTACACTGCAGTGACTTAAACTATATTCAGTAATATTACACATTTGTTTCGTAAAATTTGTCCTCAATCATGATTAATTTTATAGTTCCTCTATTTTGAATTTTTCCATTTTCTTTTAATTATCCCTATTTAATTACGTCTTCATTACTTTTCCATTAACACCAAACGCGTCAAACTTAATTATTATGCTCAGCAACAATACACACACATTTGCGGAACAAGAGCATACATACACATAATTTTCACACCTGAGCACAAGGCCCGTGAGTAAAAATATGTTTATGTGGCACACAATACTCAGCTACCAGAAGCTACATACTTTTATGCAAATACATGTGTACGCTTCTATACAGAGCCAGCCTCGGGTTTTGAATCTCCTCGATCCAAGGGTGACACTCGTTGGCTGCTGCATGTAAAGCATCAAATGTCAAATATAGACAAGTGCTTTTATTGTATTATTCACGGCACAATGAATTGTTGTTTGTTGTGGCAAATATGGTGGCACCATACCAGTAGCCACTTACAGCAATAGCGGTAGTTGTTGGTACTGGCCTAGGGGAAATAAACAAAGTTTAAACTTCCACAATTCCTGTGATTCAGTGAGTGAAAAAAAGTAAAAAAGCACCGAGATATATATGTAGATGGAATACTCGCGGCTGAATTCGATAATGTTGTATGAGGGTGGAATGAATGTTATATATGAATGACTGTTTTCATTTCATTTCAAAACTTATCTTAGTTCAGTCACTGGCGTTCAAAATAGTTCGGATTTAGATTAATAATTCGTTCCACGAAAACATTTAATAACGGCCTCAAAAGGAAGTTAACTTGTTCTGATTGCGAAATATAAAAGTACTGATATAAATTAAAAGAAAAATCAATTTAGAAACAAGTGTTGACTAACTATTGCTGATTTGCTACATCACACCACGTATACTTATGTATGTAAAGGCCATCTATATCGGAAAATCTGAATCAAAAACGACATATGGAAAATAAAAAACCAGGTAAACAGTAAGTGTAAGTTTAATACATATCGAGATGTTCACTGAAAACCCTAACAATCTACTGAGTACATTTTGTTGTTGTAACGATTAAAAAGACCATATTTCATTAAAAATCTGAGGTTGTGATCCTCGGAGCCAGGCAACGGGATGTTTCGAATCAATCGGACCGTTTTAAATATGGTGAAAAATTAGTACCTTTGAGGCTGCAGCAAGTGTGTCAGAGTAAAATCTAAGTAAATAAGAATTTAGACTAATAAAATATGTTGATGAAGGTTTTGCTAAATTGGTAGTCCTTCTTAAACAATTATCTGATCTAATTTTTATATATATGCGCCTCTCCTGATGATCATCTACCATAAATGAGCTATTAAGATTATGAATGTATATAAAATATTAGTCAAGAAATTAAGGGTTGTGAGAACTTTAGGCCTATGATGACGGCTGATATATTTCATGAGAAGGTTTTTGCTACCAAAAAATACCTTGCAGGTTCGAAATTGTCATCCAAACGATAATCGCTCTATAAATTCTTGTTTTGTGTTTTTTCTTTCACCTCTGCTAATTTTGTATCTTATGCAAACATTTAAGTCGATATCTTTTCTCTGTACCGAAAAATTGTTCTTGCATTTAATAAACCAGATATTTTCGGAAATATTTTACATTGACAGATTTTCCAATAAACGATATTTTAGCCTGGAATAGTACCATCGTGCCTTGTCAGATAATAAAACTTTTTATTAAAAGGTAAAGAATAATTGTGATTGAAAATTTCTACATACATATGTGTAAATGTATGCAAGGATATGAAACAGCATGATGATTGGTATAACAATATCATATACATATACTTGTATATTTATGTACCCCCAATTGCATGAAAACATTTCAGTACCTGTACGAATATCAACAAATAACAAAGAACCAAACAAACCGCTGGCAGCATACAAGCGGAAAATAAAGAGAAAGGAGGAATACAAACGGTGTTTATCCAGCGGGGCTATGGAGATGCAAAAGAGCAGTGCAGACAAAAAATAACAACCTCCGACGGCGTAATCATTAAAGGCAGTGAAGCACACTTAATTGAAATGTGATTGAGGTATCAAATAAGAGACGAAACACAAACGGGCTTGAGTACATACTCTACTTCAATGGACCAATAGAAAACTATCTACTTATATATATATATACATACATTTGAGCAAAGCAAAACAAAAAGAGACTGATTTGTAATATGTAATTGAAAACAAATAGACATAAACATGATGTTGTCTGATAGCTAAGATATTACAACAAAAATAAAGTACAATTTAAACACATACATATATGTAAAGGGTTTTCCAATAAGAGTGATATGGTTTAAAAAAAACACACTAATTGTTAAGGAAACTCAAATGTTTTTTATTTAATGTGAAGTACAATCTATACAACAAAGTTTTGAATATATCATCATTCAAATGGCATCCACGACTTCTTTTGCAGGAACGAATTCGATGAACCGAATCCCGAGTACTACAAGTATATATTTATGTATTTCCTCTAAATCAAGTCGTATGTCATGAGTAGCACGTTCAATATTGGCTTCTAAATATATATTATAAATTATAGAATCTCCAAACATTTCTCGCAATAATTCGGTTGTTGCACGTGTTATGTGGCACGTAGCCACAGTTCATGTTGGAACTAGATGTTGTAATGAGGTACGATGATTCCATCAGACCAAAAACCACACTAACCTGTCAATTTAGGCGAATGTAATGGCTGTTCATGAATAATGTGTGGATTTTCTTCGCACCACTTCCAAGGCAAAATCAGCAAATTCACGACGTTTGCGGTGGTACAATGGCTTCTGTTCCTGAGTGAGACCAATTTTATATGGATGCAAGCTGAAACCCTGGTTTAAGACAGTCCCAATTCTTGAGAACGTCTTGGCAGTTCAATTTTCATTACTTCGAGCGGTTCTTTGTCTTATTGGCACTTGGACATTATGTAAAGAAAATGAATGCTCGAAATTTTCAAAAATTCGGCGAATAGCGAGCAGGCAGGTAGACGATTATTACGACCATAAAATGGCAAAATCTCACGAAAAGTTACAATTGAATTGACATATTAAAAATGGCCTAAACGACACATCCCTATTGGAAAACTCGATATACTTGTATGTATGGTATATGATTCTACATCTTGTAGCGCAGTATGCATGTATAAATAAAAATATAAATATATTTTAAAATGTTATGACAAAAATGTTTATTCAAATATATTTTTGAAATTTATATTTATACCCAGTGTTGCTCCTACTCCTTTAACTCCTCTGAAAAATACATTTTCTTTAGGTCTGCAAAGAAGGCCTCCGTGATGGCGATAACTTCGTTATTCAATTCCAATTTTTGCGCGGCCCGGCCCGACTTTTTCATGTTGGCAGTTCACACTCTAAATCGACCAAAATGGATGTGATACGGCGGAGGTCTGAGCCGGTATGTTGTCTATGTCTTTGTTTTTACCCCGATAAATGTACTATACGATAGTAAGATCTTTGCGATAGTGAGGCCAATTAGATGTGAAGTTAGGTACTTATCGAACCACCCTTGTACATGTTTCAATGTTATAATGAAATGAAAGGTTTAACATAATTAAAATAAATAAAAATAATTTATTTTATTAATTTATTTTTATTTTAAAAATTAATTTAAGAAAAAGGCCACTAAACAACAATATGATTGAAAAAAATAAACTGACATGTTAGGTTTCTTGTGACATTAAAACATATATTTTCTTAAAAAGTACAAACATCAGCTACATTAAAGAAATTAATGCCGAAAAAAAATATGTTTGATTTTTGTGAATATTTGGCTTCTGGAAATATTTTTTACGTCTCAAACTATAAGCTGCTAGCATTCTTGCGCTCCATTTCCTTTGATAGCGCTTCTCCATTAAGGAAATGTCCTGATGGAACCTCTTGCCTTGTTCCTCACTTACGGCCCTCAAATTTGATGAAAAGAAATCCAAATGTGAGGCCAGCAAACACATGTATTTTTAAAGACAGATTACACCCCAAAGCTTTATAAGACATTACCATATAAGTTCATTTATTAAGTCTTTGAAATTTGCCGATTTATGGTTTCCTCGAAAATTTTGGACAACGTCCACAAAATATTTACAGGTGAGTTTTTTCTTCAGTTTTTCTTCAAAGCACTTACCCTTTATCAGTTGCCGTATTTGTGGATCTACAAATATACCCTCTTTTATATTTGCCTCGCTGAGTTTGGGGAATTTCTCTTTCAGACATACAAACGATTTGGAGTTGAAACTATTGGCAGAAGACAAGTTTTATGCTGAGTAGTGTGCTTGGACTTGGTTGTTATGTTATTTGAGGCACACAAAAATAACATTCACTTACATGATCTTTTGGTTCAGTCCAAATCATTGGTGTAGCAAATGGCATACTTATGTTATGTCAGGGTTCTTGTTTAGCCGAACCTAATAGCAGTCTCACACACTTTACTGACATGGGACCCGGGATTTATCTTGATTCCTCACAGGAAATCCAAAATAGTCTAAATAGCACTGTTCAATAATGACATGAAATTATGACGCTGAGAATTAAAAGTTAATTTTCCACATACACAAAAACTGTCGGGATCGTTTAAACACTTTCATGGCATGTTTGCGATGTAACAAACGTATATATGATGTAAGTTACTCGAATCGAATAGTTATACAGTCGTCTATATGAAGTTATTCAAAGAAAGACATGTATATGAGGTGAGAAATGATCAATTTGACGTGATTGAAACAAAAAAATCATCACAAAGGTCTTGTGAAAAATTGTGTTTAACAGTGTTATTTAAATATTTTCGTGCCTTTAATTTGGAAAAATCATACGCAATTGTTTTGAGAATTTCTGCCACTTCATTTTCAATAGATAATGTTGCCAAGCCTGTTAGTCTTTCTTTACACATTGCCGTAAATAAATCTAGAATGATATCTATTAATTCATTTGAACAAATATTATTTCAAACGTCCAGTGATGTACTTTTATAAGCAATTTGTCTGACAATAGTTTGTACTTCGTTGCATAAAACTGTTGCATCTACTTATATCCGTCAATGTATAAGTTTGCAGCTGATCAATATTAAATTAAACAAGTAAGGAAGGGCTAAGTTCGGATGTAACCGAACATTTTATACTCTAGCAAAGTCAAATGGTATACTCGTTTGAGATTTCTTTGTGGATTGACTGATATTTTCGGTAGAAGGTCAACTATAGGCACTGGGGTCCACATATTTAGTACTTAGGGGTTTGAACAGTTTTGGTTCGATTTAGACAATTTTTGGCCGCAAGGTGGCATACTTTAATTGCATTATTCACGCAAAGTTTTACCCCGATATAATCATTGTTACCTGATTTGCATAGTGGAAAGTGAAAGAATCAGATGGAATTGAAAATGGTGTTACATGGGAAGTAAGCGTGGTTGTAGTCGGATTTCGCCCATTTTCGCACTATGACATAGAAACATGAAAAGAACGTTATGCACCGAATTTGGTTGAAATCGGTTGAGCAGATCTCAAGATATGGGTTTTCACCTAATAGTGGGCTGTGCCACTCCCACTGACTAATTTTGAACGCGGTTCCTATAAAGCCAATTTATACCATCTAAGAAATAAAATTTAATGCCTCTGGCGTGTTTAGTGCTTGATTTATCGCGCTTTTAGTAGTTTTTAACAGTACCGTTATATGGGGAGTGGGCGGAGTTGCCACCCGATTTCAACTATTTTCACACCGTCAATAGAAGTGCTAAAAACATTTGCTTCTAGTGAATTTAGGAGATATGCACATTAAACCTATTAGAGGCGGGACCACGCCCACTTTAAAAAAAAAAAGTTTTAACTGCAGATGCCCCTCCTTAATATGATCCTGTGTACCAAATAACAGTCTTGTATCTTATTGCGGAGCTTAGTTATGGGAAGTTATTTGTTTTTGATTAATGGCGTTTTGTGGGCGTGGCGGTGGTCCGATTACGCCCATCTGCAATACCAACCGTCCCACGGTACCGAGAAACATGTCTACCAAGTTTCATAAAGATATCTCAATTTTTACTCAAGTTAGAGCTTGTACGGACGGACGGACGGACAGAAAGTCACCCGGATTTCAACTCGTCTCTTCATCCTGATCATTTATATATACATAACCCTATATCTAACTCGATTAGTTTTAGGTGATACAAACAACCGTTAGGTGAACAAAACTATTATACTCTGTAGCAACAGGTTGCGAGAGTATAAAAATGTTGGTAAATTGTTTCAACTGATCGCATCTTTCATCGATTGAAGACAAGGCAGCATAGACAATGGCAAGATAAAAACTGATTTTCAAATTTTGCTTAGCAACGCGAATTGGCTCATCTTCCCCCTTATAATTAAACGGTGTTTCTGTGTCCTCAAGCGAACTAGTGCTGTTTCTGATTTGAATGTACATACATACCAAACATAAATATGTGATATTTTGTATGCAGATCAACGGATATATCATACAAAAACAACCACTGGTTTGTACTATTAGAAAAAAATTAACAATACTCTCGTTGATGTTTATAATTTATATTCAAAGATTTTTGTATATTATATACAAATAAATAAAGAAAATAATTATATAAATTATGTAAATTATTTTAATATTTATTTGAAATAAAATTAAAAATCAACATATTTCATGAGTATAATATATAAAGAAATAAATAAAATTTGTAAAGAAAGCCAAAATACCGCCCAAAAATTCTTGCGCCCTAGGCAATTGCCTAACTTACCTATGAAGTCCAGATTATGGCCATTCCAGTTTCAAACTATTAAGATATCCCTTACATTATTCTGAAGATATAGAAAGTAATCGAAAATCAAATATTTTCTACCGACAAAAAAGAATCTAAATTCCTACGAAAATCCCTATAAATAAACTTTTTGTGGAATTGGCAATATGACACAGACAAACCAGAATTTCGTAAAGTATCATCTTAGTCGTAACTTGCATATATGTATATATGTATGTATTATAAAAAAATTCATTTTGCGTGGCAAACACCACAAGTCTACGACATCGTACTTACGTCTTCTGATACTTGACAATGTCCGCTGCGCTGAACGATATCGTGGTAAGTTTCTATTAGATGCTTTTGTCGCACCAAAATTTCCTGCAGTTTCTAGAAATGGAATAAAACAAGAACAAACAGAAGAGCGCCAACGAAGGCAAGCATTTAGTTATTAAAACTTTATGACTTTGACAATTACCATTTATGTAAATGAAACACAAAATAGAACAATTCACACGTGCATATCTTCTACTAGATCAGTTTAATACTCGATTAAACAGGCTTGAACCTCAGCGCTATCCGACTACAATAGGCAGACAGTCAGGAAGTCTAAACTCATAATACATATCGGTGTAGAATGTTGAAAAAGGTCAGGTAAGGTGAAGGTTTTTGTGTTTGTACTATTTTATACAATTGGCACATGTGTGTACACCTATATGTATGTGTGTATGTAAAGATGTTCACATTTTCGCCATAAACATACAAGAGTGGTCGAATAATTATTTAGCCTCCAAAAGAAAACCGGAAATTTTAAGTTTATTCCTCGGCATAATCTCCTTTTAGGTCAATACACTTGACCCAGTCAAAATTCTTTAACCACCTGAAAATAAACTTTTTTGATATCTGTAAAATATGCTTTCATGGCGACGATAACGTCCTCATTTAAAAACAGTTTATACCCTTTACCGCTTTGAAAATTAAAACACATTGTCATAGTGACAAAGTCCTTTTTCGTCGGCAAATGGCGTGCGTTTTCCTTAATTCGATACCGAATAAGCCAAATAATTTAGCATAGTAGTGGTGAAGTATACTGCTTGGCTCATTAAAACCCGACTTGCGACCACGTTTAAACTCGTTAAACCAATTTTTTGACAGTCGCCGTCAAAGGATAAATGTCACCATATACAGCATAAAAAAGTTCTTTGATTTCCCTTTCAAAAGCAACAACTGATATTTAGTGAAGTAGTCAGCGAAAAAATTCAATGAGATCAGCTGTTATAATCAAACGGAATTACTTAGTGAATGACCCAATAGTTCACAAAACCTTTTTCGTGTTTAGCTATTGAATATTCTCAGCTGATAAATTACAGTTTTCACAAAGTAAATTTATTGTATTGTGCATTCAAGAACTAATTACAACAAGAGCTTAAGCTTAAAAACAGTACTCAAATGGCACTTTATTACATTTAATCTCCCAATAAAACAATTTATTTCTATTTCATAGAGTTGCTTACGGCGCAACTTAAAAATAAATGGTAGATTGAGTTTTGGAATATTTCGTTGTACAAAAAAAGCTAAAAGAGTAAAAAAATAAGCTTAAAAAAAGCGTGTATGCAAATAAACAACTAAAAATATGGTTCTTATCATACACTTAAAGTACAGTTTTAATGGTACATACATTTGTTGGTATATACCATATTTTAAAGGTTATTTGTCCCGCAGTGCAACTGATAACATAAATTTACCAGATAACATGCGCTAGGTTAAGTCTTTTCGTGGTTATACTCGTACTACATATATTTGCACTTAATTATAAAATTTAAGTATTAGTTTGCACAAACATACATACATATATATGTATATATCTACATAATGTCAGATTTGTTAGTGTAAGCCTTACTTTGCTTTATACGCTTTGTATAATTCATAAACGCTATTATAATTAATTAAATTTGTATGTATACTGATAGCGTAAAGGGGACGTTTCTTGAAAAGTCTCTGGTTCGGATTCATCGTCGCTCGACGATGGTGGCGTCTCCAAGATGGGCATGGATAGATCTAAGTACTCCTCATTGGTGGCATGATTTGATGCCAATTGGAGTATTTTGTCTAAATTCTCTACAATCTCGCCAAACGTGGGCCGTACATTGGCGTCAAAATGCCAGCACTGTCGCATTAGCATATAGATATTCAGTGAACAACGTGCTGGTTTCTCCATACGTTGACCAGTAATGAGATAGCTGTAGAGCTCCTCCGCAGACATTATATTGGGGTAAGGTTGATCGCCAAATGTCATAATCTCCCACAATAGTACACCGAAAGACCACACATCTGACTGTGAATCGTAAAACTTTTCTTGTAGAGACTCTGGCGCCATCCACTTGATGGGTAAACGGCCATTTGTATTCTTTCTGTAGTATTCTGTGTCTTGTATGTCGCGAGCCAGACCGAAATCGGCTATCTTCATAACATAGTCATCACTCACAAGCACATTACGCGCCGCCAAATCGCGGTGAATACACTGTGAGAATATTAATGAAACAAAATAAAAGATTATTTTTAATTTAGCTTATAAACGCCACAACTTACCCTACGCGATGCGAGATACTCCATGCCACGTGCAATTTGAAATGCAAAGGATACCAAATTTTTCTCGGTTAGCTGCGGCATGTCTTCTAAGCAATTACTGCTGCGTTGCAAGTTTGGACTGCCAACAAATAACGGCCTGTTCTTTTTCAGAAAGTCCTTTAAATTGCCATGAGGCGCGAATTCCACAATGACCCATAGCGGACCAGTTTGTGTGCAACACCCCAGCAAATTAATAATATTTATATGCTTACCGATCATTTTCATTACTTCCATTTCCCTTACCAAGCTCGCCATATCGGCATCGGTGTGTTCATCTTTTACCATTTTCACGGCAACTATGCTAGACGAGTTGTTGGCGGTGCGTGGCAAGTTGCATGCCTCTGCCATTACTACACGTCCGAAGGCGCCTTCGCCCAGAGTCGACCCCAGATTTAGTTGTGTACGTGGTATTTCCCAGTTAGAGTCGAGCGGAAATTCATACTCATTGAATGCTTGTGAAGGATCCAAATTCGAAGCTTGAAAGGTAGTACGTTGTTTTTCAATTTTAATTACCGGCATTTGTAGATCGCAAGAGCTGCCTTCAGAAGAAGATGGCTTATATATAATAACTTTTTTTGTCCATTGATGAACAGTTTCGATACGATGTTTCAGCAACTTCTCATGTTTAAGTTTACGTAAAACATAAATTATAAAAATGGAGCCAAAAAGGAAAAGCAACACAATCACTATGGCGGCTACTGCCATCCAAACGGGATGCGCACGCCACAGCATGTATACTTCACGACTGGGTAATTTGTCGACGACATGCAGATACCCACTTTTCACAGCTTCACCCAGAGTATTGGCAGCTACACATGTATACCAGCCCTCGTCCGCATGTGTAACATTTGTCAACCGAAGAATGTTTGGTTGATCGGGATCACCGTTGAGCTTGATAAAATCGTCTGCAGATGGCTGATGGGTTTTGGTATTGGTATTTGCTTTAGTGAAAATACGTTCCAAATTTTCAATACTTTCGTTATTTTGCTTATATTTTATCCAGAATATATGTGGCTCCAAATCCGATACGATGCGGCATTCAAAATGTGTGCTACTGTTGGTCAGAACAGTTTGATTTTGTGGAAACTTGTCACTATGAATTGGACGAGAACGTAAACGATCCTTTATAGTCAATTTTGTTGAATGCTCTATGCATCCCAAATTGTTGCAGACAGTACATTTATAGACACCTGAGTCTTCGGCAATGACTTCGTCCATTTGCATTGACCACTTTTTGTATGTGACTTTACCAATGTGACGCATAATTTCTGTGAAATTTGAATCCCCTGCTCTCCGTGTCCATGTTATGTTTGGCAATGGATTACCAATGGCGGGACAAAGCAGTTGTATTGTTGAACCCGATGGCTTATGTAAAGCTGTAACTAGTTTGTCTGCTTTTTTGAAGCGTGGCGGACTTTCTTCAACTGCCTCTGGATCGTCATTGGTATCATTGACATCCCTATTGTTCACAAAAGAATCAATTGCCGTTACAAGTTTTTCATTTTCCTTCTTCGATACTGCGCTACCTGAGTCCTCCGTAGAATAGGCTGCATGTTTATCTGATAATGCAAGTTTGGTTTTAAGTGTCACGGTAGTGGTTTTCTGCTCTATGACTTCTAAATAAGCTGTGGCCATGGCTTTCGCAACTTCATTTGTAGCTATGCAGGTGTAAAACCCTTTATCCTCCAACTTTGCTTGAGATATATTTAAAACGTTCGGATTTTCCACATTAGTTGACAACTCAATTACATTCGGATTATTTATAAAGTTTGAAAAAAGCTCTTCCGTGTTAATTCTTTTCTGATGCTTGATCCAGCGGATCTGCACAGTGGTTGGAGACTCAACTTGACACTCGAACTGTGTGCTACCAGTGACCACAACCGTTTGATTGCTTGGCTTATTGTTTACTATGAGTGGACTATCTGAAAGCAATTGTGGTCTCACAATTTGTAACCGTATATTATGCTCAATAGAACCGAATTTATTATTTATTTTACAAGTATATACGCCAGAGTCGGCAGTGGTTAGGTTCTCAATAAAAAGTGACCACTTCTTTAATCTAAAACGCAATGGTGTCAAGTTCATTCTTGTGGCATCATGAAACCAAGTAATGACTGGCAATGGATTGCCCAAAGCGGGACAGATCAATTGCGCAAAACTTCCAACTGGTTGTTGTATACTATTCAGAAGTTTATCACTTTGATGAAACTGAGGCGGACCCGGATTCGGAAGATGTATAATCTTCAAAGCGGTGGAATTAATATTTTTGGAATATTTCGATTGCAATTCCATTTCGGAAATTTCATCCGTAGAATTGGACTTATTTCGATCTAATCGTAAACGCGCCTCCATATCATCTTCCACTTTACTAAAGTCATCTTCCTCCATAAAATTAGGTAACATGGAGGGCTCCTGCTCAATGACCCTTAACGCAACACTAACGTATTTGGGGCCGAGCGACACTTGTTCCGCCTGACAGCTATATACACCGGTATCCTTCATCTGTACCTCCCTCAACACCAGCAAACGGTTACCGCTGAGGAACTCATCATCCCTGTACCATTTAATGGCGCCCTTAAGCAAACACGTTAGACGTACGTCTGTGTTTGGCGAAGCTATACATTTGGTGAGTGTAACGCTAGGGCTAAGGGTAACATTGAGCACCTTAGCGGTTTGTTCCACCGGCGCTACTTGACTGTCAACTAAACTTTTGGCCAATGACAAATAAGGCGCGTAGATACAGATATTAATCACGAACAGCAACCAACACAAATTAGGCGGCCTACAAAATATTGCTTTCAGTCTTATTTTGGACATCTTTGGATCTTTGATTTGGGGTTTTCGGAATGGAATTGTGGCGGCGTATTATGTAAAAAATTGGCGAATCTACGTGGCAAACTACGATATGCCTGCGATTCACGCCCGTTAAGTATTTAATTTGGCTGCTGATTGTTTTTGTATATTTGATATAAGCTACAACTTTCCTTTGTCCTTTGAGCGCGCTCTTTGTTAGCTCTTAGTAGTCAAAAATCATATTGACACCAAGAAGCTTCGTTGTTACTGCTCATGTGTTTAAAACTCGCATTGCTACTAAATAATAAAAAGTCGTTGTCGGTGTTACTCTTAATACTCAGGTCGGGAGCGTTGAGAATTATTATTGGTGATAATTGCTGCAGCTCCCTTCACAGTTGCGCACACACTGCTCCTTCAACAATTTTAAATTCAGTGTTTCGGTTTGAGCCATCGCTTGGCCGCTGATTTATTTACATATGTACATGCGAATGTAAACGAGTGTATAAGCAGGAGAGAGACCAAAGCTAGGCGATATGAAGTCACTACGCAGACTATGGGGAGCACACAGGCGAATCGAATTAAAAGGAAAAGATTGAAAATAAAAAAACTATGTGCATTGATTTCATAATGAGTTTTCTCTTTTTTTTTGCTTTTGTTTTTGTCTCTATAAATTGTTGTTTTTATTTTTCGCTTGAATATTTCATATACTTTGTTGGCTAGCACTTGTGCGACGCGCCGCCTAACATGGTTAACAGCAATGATATGTACACACTCTCTAGCACATATGGATGTTTGATATGTACGTACTTATGTGCGTGTGTGTGCGATGGTTGGCCGTGCGGACGGATGATCCTAATTTAGCCAGTATGCGCATTTCAATGTGCGAATCGAATTACACTGCTTGATGGAGTTTTACTTAAGCGCATAAGATTGGATTACGAAAGCGCCAACAACAACAACATCACAAACGAATAAAAAATATAAAGAAAGCGATTAAAGTTATAGCTATAATTGATATTTTTTTCAGTTTTTCTATCACTTTTTCTGTGTGAAGCATTAATTACGCTCATACTTTATCTAAGGCATTCTTGAAGACATCCACCGAGGAAAAAAGATTATGATGCAGCCATTACATATGTATGTATGTACATATACCAATTTAGTGTTTCTATCCGCTCTTTTTAATATTTTTGGAAGAACCAATAAAAATAATTAATGTGCCTAACATGTTCTACGAGGTACATTATCTTTCTGATGGTGTCGTTGTAAAGTATTTTATACTTCTTTCTCTTTCTACTTTTGTAGAAATACATAAACGTAGGAGTATAATTAGACTCTATGCCATTTATAGAACTGCTGTTGTTGTTATAAGTGGGCCATTTTAAAAAAGTACAATTGCTTGGAAAGTTTTCAAACGGTTAATGAAATGAAATTTATATTTGAGTATAATTACTTCATTGCAGTTTGAGGTATGACACCAAAGCTTAGAACTTAAGCGGCAAAATAGCATATACATATGTACATATATATAAGTGTTTGTATTTGAAAATGTGTGCATTAATGAAATGTGGTGATATTCACAGGTGTTCGTAAACATATATACTATACATATATGTTATATATACAATATATAATATATAAAGTTTAAACTTTTAAGGCATGTACATACATATGTATACACATGGGTGTATATGTGTACGAATTGTATCAATGTGTTGCAAAAGCGATAGCACCTAATTCAAACTGACAAGTGCAATTCAATCATTTCCGCTTGACGTTTCTTGAAGAATTTTCATTCTTTTTTGGTTTATTAGTAAGGGCGATACGCATTTTTTAGTGCGGAAGTTGTTTACGTTTTATTTGCCTACAACAAGCAGTTTTGAAATTTTTTCACTCTCTCTTAACAGTTTAATGGTTCAAATTCCTATTTCATACCGAAATTGCAAAAATATTTCATTCTTGACCGTAACATTTTAAGTTTTTTAGTTTTTTTCTAAAATACCGCTCTACAGTCTCGTTTTCTCCGTATACGGCTTACAATCCTCCGTTATTATAATGTATTGTGTATTTTTAGAAACGGGCTATGCAGTGAGCTATTCTAATGGTTATGAGGTTTGCAATATTTTCAGTTGAATGGGCGTAATTTTGTTTAAAATTTGTAGGTATAAAAAAGTTTCAATTGGGACTAATAGAAATTCTGTTTCTATTCCGACATAACTATACTTTTACATACTATTTTTGTACATCCTGAAGCACAAATTATTATAAATCACCATCATTTATTTATAAGGTAAAAAAGTCTGCTAATATTCTAATAAATCAGTCTCAATATGGTAAACTAATATTAAAGCCGAAAGCTCTGAAGTCACAAAATAGAACACTGAATAAATCTTCAAAATGAGCTAATGAATATTGATCTCATATAATGTAAAATTAAGTTGATTCATCAATGACTTCATCAACAGTAGAATGGAGGAACCAATGGCTCATTTTCATCTAACCTTTTGGAACTTTTTGCATTCTAACAATAAAGCAATAATCCTAATATTAGAAAAAAGTTTAATTACTTTCATAAGTTCCTTTTTTATTGATTAAAAGTAAAACAAAATAAAAGGAGTAAATAATGGTACATGGTAATCGTTATCAATTTGCTCGAACGCGGTATAGCACCATAGTGATTTCAAGAAATTTTTAATTCCGCGGTTGAAACAATATATTCAAAGATCGGCTATGTCATTTGTAAGAAAGGAATTCTTATTCCTGAACTTTGATAATAAGCAAACAGTCTTATCCTATTTATCTAGTTATGTAGCATACTAATAAACCTATAGGAATCTCAAGAATTGAAATATTTCATAATGAGAGTCGTTATTGGGATATATATCAAAGTCCCGTTACAATCATATTCAAGACTTCTTTCCTTTAAGCTTCTAAATGGTGCATTCTGTTATATTGTTGTTGTTGTATCACGTACGGAATTCAGTAGGTTTTGAATTTTTAACACGCACTAAATATCTGACTCTTTATATGTACTTATTTATTTTTATTTTTCCTTTTCGATTTTGCAAAAGATCGTAAATCTTTGCCAAACACATTTTATTGCCATTTCGTACACACAGTTTAAGAACACCCAAAAAATTCACGGATTATGGAATAGTGTCGTAAATATCACTAATATTTTTTTTTGGATTATGATAACCCCCGAACGACTAAATCAAACGTTTTCAGCCGGTTCCGCAAACTGTTTCCGCTTCACGAACGCGTACCACCCGTGTTGCGAAAGTGAGCGCCACGTCGTCAACTACCCGCTGTGTACAAATAAGACACTCATAAGAAATATTCAAGTACACACCCGGTTCAAAAATTAATCTCCGTTAGCAATTCACTTTAACGATTATTGAGCATTCAAAACGACAATTTGCGTCTGACCGTTGCCAGTGATGAAACTTGACTGATCGCTCAATATGAAACGATTCAAGAGAGTTTAAACGACAAACATTGTTTTTCGTATAATTCGTAATAAACCCATTGTTGGAACAGCAAAAACCAAGAAGAAAAAATGCAATGCAACATACAAAAACAGTAACCCAAAACAAAAATCAAGCAGAAAACCATGAAAAATTTTGTCATCATAAAGCACTTGTTGTTGATAGTTATAAAATGGCAACAACAGTTTCTATGGTTATATTGGGTCATTATTTGTTGTTACTATACTTTAATACAACTACTCCTACAGCAGACGTCGTTCGCTCTCGGCCGGAAAAGCTTACACATACGCATACGCCAACATACGGGTGTTCGCAGAGATGCATTAGTAGCGATGTTCGTGCCTCTCTTGTGATCCTTAAGAAATTATAATTCCGAGCACATGTATTTTCATCTGATTTGAAATATATTGACTCCGCGAGGATTGTGTTATTTTTGTACGCGTTATTTTTTTATTAATGCACGGCTGATGCCTTACTGGTTTTATATTTTTGGCTTGGATTGAGTATCTATAACTTTTATTGAAATTAATTTCGGGAAATTTTTGATGCTTGGATCGCCGACTATGACTAATGACTATGTTAGAAACTATAGAAACAACGTCTGTTAATTTGATACTTATTTCATTTACATCAATCTAGGCATTAATTGGTAATTTGAACAATTTTCGCTAACAACAATATTATAACTAAGGTATAGCTCAAAAACAAACGATGATTTTTACTTAAAGCCATTTTACTTTCGTATATGAGCATAGTGTTCATAATATCTGATATTTTCCGGGCATCATAAATGAAATAAATTTATATTTGCTTTATCTTTGCTATCACTGCGCTTTTGTCTTCTTAATGTCCGCTGTCAACTTAAGTTTGCTACAAACTTACAAACAATTGTAAATATGTATATCTGTAAGTACTCTTCGAATGTTTGTTTGTATTGATTTCCTTCGTTTGTTCGTTTTAATTTATGCGAATGCGCGTGCGCAACAAGCCAAGTGCAGGCCAAATAATCACCGGTTACAAGTACAACTACCACAAACACTAACATACATACGTATGGAATATGTACGAAAGTAATACAAAGTTGTAGATGAAACAGTCAAGAGTTCTTTGATATTTCTCGTAGAGTCAAACCTGCGGTACTTACTGACCGACCACCGGTTATTTACATACTCTTAGTACACCTTCATCACACACACACACGCACACCCACACCTTAATACACAATTGTTGTATTTACTTTTGGTTGCATTATGCTTCTTCGATACTTATAGAATGAAACTTCCAGTGACATTTTTATTGTGTGCATTGGCTTTCCATTTTTAATGTTTTCACTGTTGCTTTGTTTTTGCGCGATCGACCCAACAACTGTGTATGCAGGTGAGCGCGAGTATGTGGTCGTATGCGCAAGTGCTATGCATGTGTGTGCGATTAACGCATATCAATTGGGAAATATCCGTTACGTGACTCGTGTATACCTTTCTTTTGTTCGATCGCTTTCGACAACAGTTCTTTCCGTTTTTGAGTTAGGCGTGTTATATACACACACATTCATCAGTACGTACATATGTTTTTATGTGTGAACATAAACGTTGTGTTGCACTGTTGATTATATGTGGCTCTGCTTTATGTCATAATTTTTTCCTGACCTTTATGGAAGACTTAGTGTAATTTTGTAGTTTTTTAGATATGTATGTACGAGTGTGTATGTATATGCTTTTAAGGTGTAACAGCAGCTCGCATATCGCTAAATCTTGTTTCGGCGCTCAAATTTCTCTATGTCATAGACACATACTCAGCAAAAATCCCTTTGTCTGATATTACATACTTTTTCAAATTTCTATTTTTGACATACATACATATATGTACACACATATTTATGTACATTCAATATTCTCATTAAAAAATTGATATTAGGTGTTCCTCGATTCCATGTAACTTTTCCAAGTATTTAATGCTTTTGCGTTTATTCGCTATCAGATTTTCTGCTCACGTATTTTTATTTCATCGTGATGTTTATGACGATACTAGCAGATACACTTATGTTATGTGCATAATATAAAAACATTTATAAATCTGTATTCACGTATTCAATATGTATTTTCTATTTACTACTGAGTTCACTTTCTCGTTGTTGTTATTGAATTAAAAACGTACATAGTGGTTAGTTTCTAATTTCTTTCGTATTTGTGGTTGGAAACTAGATTAAGTCGAAAGGCACCACCATAAAAAGGCATAGCCGAATGCTTCACAATGAAAACAACACTCTAATTTCAATTCGTAATGTGGGATCGTATAATCCAATCTTTATCTGGACTTTGGTCTTATAAATAGAAATAGTATACAAATTCAGGATAAAAAAAATAACTGTAAAAGTACTTTAAATAACACATTTTAAATTTAAAGAACCTTTATTAATAGATCAAGCGTTCGTTATCGGTAACGAACAATATTTGTTAAATATGTTTGTAGTTAACTTATATAAAACTGATTAGTAAACTTATAATTGGCATTGTGAATACATTAGTACCACTTTCTTTAAATTGTGGACTTATTTTTCGTTTAGAGTTTCTTATAAAAGTATACAATATTTTAATTTCTTGAAAATTAAGTGGAGAAAAATAAAAGTTTTAGGTCTGTATGCTGTATGGAAGGGTAAAATATTGGTTCAACTTTATAGACCTAATTTAAAGTTTTAAGCAAATATATTTTTGGCAATACTAAGTTATTTGTTTAGTTTAGTTATTTTATAAGAATTGTTTCACTTTGTACCCTTCAAATGTTTTTTAAATAGTATAGCTTTTTATACTCTCGGAACAATATTATTGGTTTTTATACTGTTACAACACAGTCCATATAATAGTTTTGCTTAACTTGCGGTTATTTCTAACACCTAAAACTAATCGAGGATGATGAGACAAGTTGAATACCGGGTCCGTGCAAGCGACCTACATAAAAATTTAAATACTATCTTATTACACTTGGTACGCATGTTCCTTGGCACTCTAAAAATGTTGATATCGCAGATGCGTGAAATCGAACAATTGCCACGCTCACAAAACACCATTAATTGAAAACCTATAAGGTGCTATTGAATTATCCAAATGATTGTGGTCTCGTCCTCTTATAGGCTTAAGTATCTCATTAACCACAAAAGCTAAATCGATCAAACTTGCTGAGAACAAGTTATTCTAGTGTTTCCTCCCAGTTTGTAAAAAAAATTTCTCATGACAAATCCTTTCGGTGCTTTCTTCGACTGTGTGAAAATGAATGAAATCGGATGATAACCACTCAATACTTAACGTTTATAATATATCTAATAATATGTAAAATTATCCTGACATTCTACATTACAGTCATGGGCGAAATCAGACAAAAACCACGCCTACTTCCCATATATTCTAATTTTTGTTTCAATTTGATTCCTTCACAATAATTATGCTTTCAATTAAGTCAATTTCGAAATTCGAAAGCAAAAAGTTCAACATTAGGGGTCTATTACGTAAAACAGAGTAATTTCTTTTGTACGTATGACTCAATCTCTCGAAAGAGATAATTTGGTCTGGTATTTGCCGTATAGTGTAATAATATTCAGAAAGCATATTTCTCAAAGAATTTTCTGCCCTTGTGCCGAAAGTGGTTATAATCAGGCTAATACTACTCCTAGGCCACACATACTTATTACACGAACTTCAAACTTTTTATTGGCTTTATACCACGGACGTCACAAAGCAATTTTTCTTAGGGGGGCAAACATAAATGCCGAAATAGTTTCCAATATAATATATATTTCACATCCATGGATTTTCATTAATTTTCGAAGTTCAGCCCCGTATCAGAGTCAAAATAAATCGGGTATTACTAAATATAGCTCAAAACAAAAACTAACCACTAAGTATTACCAAACGTTGCTTTCCGATGATTTCGTGAAACGAATTCTTAAAAGACTCACACTGTATTTTTATGCAAATAACTCCAATGGATGGATTAATAATATTTCGAAATCAGAACTTTACAAAAACGTGAATATTCAGAATAATTGTGATATGCTTTTACGAAATCTTTTCGATAACAATGGTCGAATGAACCAAAAGATACAAATGTTCGTAGACTTCATTGGAAGATATGTCATTATATAATAAATATAACCTAAAAACAAGTGTAAAGTAAGTCATACACTTCGTTGTGACTCGAAATATTTTATCTCATTAGTGTGGAATTAGACATAAAATATCTACTTGAGCTGTTTTCGCTCTCAACTTACATTTATAGACTGCGTTTTAGTTTAATGTCGATTCCCGACAGAATACTCGATACTAATTCTTAGGGTTATACCATAAAATATGAATTATTACTGCCTTAAAAGTGTTTGCTGTAGATCCAAAAAAAATGAAGAACTATTGCAATAAATCTGAAAACTTTAGGTCGAAATAGAGACACAAATACTGTCATTATATCTGTGTACTGTCTCAAAAGTAATTGCATTAACATGGGAAGGATCCATGAAAATGCCCAATCAATTTGTGTACCGGCAGGTGTAGTTGAATATTCTACACCAAGCAGGGAACTAAAGTTTTTTTCTTGGAGCAGATTTCCATTTGTAGTCCCTGTAGACATTAAACAAATGTTAAAATCTCAAACAGTTAACACATTTTGATTGTATAGCTCAGAAGTAAGGACTTCCTGAAGTTCTATAATTAAATGTCTGACAGAGTAAGCTGAGTTTCTGTTTAGAACCAGAATATTAATATTGAAACATTTAAACAAAACCGCTTCTAAAACTTTGCGGGTTGAATAAATTTTCTTTACAGCCTTTGATTCTATAGAGCTATCAATACTATGCTTTACATATATTATAATGCCCCGTTTATTTCTGTTGCTTGTTTCCGTGCTATCTATCCTCAGCTCGTTAATTGAAGTAAATCCTGGTACATCAAAATTTCCGCAAGCATAACTCCAAGTTTCTACCAAACATAAAATATATGAAGATATCATCAAACAGTCGCTT